CTCCCTCTCCCTTCACCCCTCCAGCTCGTGCTCGTTCTCAATCTCTCTCTCAAATAAATAAATAAATCTTTAAAAAATAACAATAAAATAAAACTCTCTGTTACTTCTTTAAACTATATACATAAAACTAAATTCTATCCCTGAAACTAATAATACAGTGTATATTAACAAAATTGAATTTCTTTATTTTTTTAAAAGATTTTATTTATTTATTTGACAGACAGAGATCTCAAGTAGGTGGAGAGGCAGGCGGGGGGGGCGGAGGGGGGAGAAGCAGGCTCCCTGCTGAGCAGACCCCAATGCAGGGCTCGATCCCAGGACCCTGGGATCATAACCTGAGCTGAAGGCAGAGGCTTTAACCCACTGAGCCACCCAGGTTCCAGCTTGAATTTATTTTTTAAATATTTTATTTATTTATTTGACAGAGAGAGAGAATACAAGCAGTGGGAACAGCAGGAAGATGGGGAGGGAGAAGTAGGCTCCCTTCCCAGCAGAGAGCCCAATGTGGGACCATCCCAGGACCCTGGGATCATGACCTGAGCCTAAGATGGACGCTTAACTGACTGAGTCACCCAGGTGACCCTGAAACTGAATTTAAACTAAAAATTAAAAAATGGGCTCCTGGGGGCCTCAGTGGGTTAAGCCTCTGCTTTCAGCTCAGGTCATGATCTCAGGATCCTGGGATCGAGCCCTGCATCAGGCTCTCTGCTCAGCAGGAAGCCGGCTTCCCCCTCTCTCTCTGCCTGCCTCTCCACCTACTTGTGATCTCTCTCTCTCTGTGTCAAATAAATAAAATAAAATATTTAAAATAATTAAAAATATATATGTAGCATCTAAATAAGATTTTTTATTTTTTAAAAGGTAATTTTTAAAAAGGATTTTATTTATTCATTTGACAGAGAAAGACACAGTGAGAGAGGGAACACAAGCAGGGAGAGTGGGAGAGAGAGAAACAGGTTTCCCACTGAGCAGGGAGCCAGATGTGGAGCTCAGTCCAGGACCCTGGGATCATGACCGGAAACAAAGGCAGCTGCTTAACTGACTGAGCCACTCAGGCACCTCAAAGAATTTAATTTTCAAAACTTAGTACATATGTATGTATTTTTAAAATTTAGCTACAATTGACATATGGCATTATATTCCTTCTAGATATACAACCAATATATGTATATATTACTAAATGATCACAACAGTAAGCTTAGTTAACATCCGTCACCACCCATAAAGGTTTTCTTGCAAGGAATTTTAAGATCTACTCTTTTAGCAACTTTCAAGACATTTTTTTTTTAAGATTTTATTTATTTATTTGACAGACAGAGATCACAAGTAGGCAGAGAGGCAGGCAGAGAGAGGAGGAAGCAGGCTCCCTGCCGAGCAGAGAGCCCGATGCGGGGCTTGATGCGGGGCTCGATCCCAGGACCCTGGGATCATGACCTGAGCCGAAGGCAGAGGCTTTAACCCACTGAGCCACCCAGGCGCCCCTTTTAGCAACTTTCAAACCATAAGGTTTCGTTAATTGTAGTCACCATGCTGTACATTATATCCCTAGGACATTATTATCTTGTAACTGGAAGTTTGTACCTTTTGATCAACTTCACCCATTTTGCACACCCCCCGTATTATACCATATTTAGCAGCTTTTCAAGACAGCTTAGCCTCTCTGACATCTCTCAAACATCAAACATTTCTTGCAACTCCCTCCTCTCTTGTCAACCTTGACTCATTATTCTTCTACCTTATTTTTTAAAGATTTTATTTATTTATTGGAGAGAGAGAGTATACACACATGAGCACAAGCAAGGGGAGGATCAAAGGGACAGGCATACTCCTTACTTGAGCCCAAGAGTCAAGGTCGGGCTCCATCCCAGCACTCCCACCCCCTAGAGATCAAGACCCGAGCCAAAGTAGGACACTTCACTGACAGCCGCTCAGGCACGCCTTGTCTACCTTTCTAAAGTTTGCCTGATACCCTCATCGTTTCCCCTCCCTATATCTTTATGTTCCTTATCAGCAAACCTTTCCTGTGAAGCGCTTACTAATATATAGTTTAGGCGTTGTGGGCCACAGAGTTTCTGTCACAACTACTCAACTCTGGCATTATAAAATGAGAGCAGTCATGACCACTACAGAAACAAGGGAGCATGTTGTGTTCCAATAAAACTGTATTTAAAAAAAACAGTGGGGTAATTCAGACTAAAGACCATAGTTTGCTGATCTCTCATCTAGAAGCTTCCTGAGACAGGGAGACTAGGAGACGAACATTGGGGACCTGTATGTCTAAACATTTCTGTAATCTCCAACTGAAATACCCAGGATGACCGGGATAGAATTCTAGGTTGGAAATAACCACTCCTCATCATTTTGAAGGTATTGTTCAATTTCTTCTACCTTCCCCAGTGCCTTGTTTCCTTTAGCTCGGTTGGATCCACTAACCTCCAGAGGTAGGGTTTTGCCTTAAGATTTTATTCATGCTCACTGAACTATTTTTTACTTCATTAGTAACATTTTTTCATTTCTAAAAAATAAAATCCATTTGAAGAAATTGACCACGATGTTTTCCAATTTCCTGTACTCAAGGAATACTTCTTTTTAGAATTTGGTACCAGGAAAATGAATCTCAGGGAAACATCTATGCTGTCTTTTATGAGACAATAGGCACTAAGTAATCCATTGTGATTCATTTTTCATCTTGACTATTAGTGTCCAATTGCATTAAACTCTCATACCATATTCAATTCATTTGTATCCTCAGATGTTTAATAAAAGTGAATAAATGTGAGGGAACAGACAATGGGAAGGCAACAATTTTGTCAGCTATTTTGGCACTCCAGACTGAAGGGAAAGAAACAGATTTTCTTTTCAATGGAAGGACAGCAACATCACACTGTATAATAATATATATCAAGATGGGAAATAGATCAGTGCAGCCATCTTTACAAAATATAACTTGCCATTTGGTGCATTTGTTCTCACCCATCAGTATTTGCAATAAATCACCCAAATCCCACCCCTACCATGTCCTGGATCTTTTTTACTTCATCACCATTTAGACCACCATCATCGTCCCACCTGGATGTTTGCACAACATCCTAACAAAACTAGTCTTGTTGCCTCCAGTTTTCTCTCTCCAATCTCTTCTCCATCCTGAAGCCACAACAGCTTAAAAAACAAACAAAAACCCCATTTATGTGATGAAGTATTCCTTACCATGCTTACTCTTACCAGAGATCCCACCACATTGCTTACAAGTGAAACCAATTGATCTGTGGTTTTCTCTTTCTTTACTGATGTACAATCCACCACTCTTTACCATGATGGTTGCATTTAATCAAATGTTACAGTTTGGTCACAGCTCCAAGGAGTCATTTTTTTTTCCTGGAAATTTACTCATATGTAGCATGTCACTTACTTACAGAATATTTCAACTAGTGTAGTGTTGTCCTAGGTTCACCCACAACAAGTTGTGGAGAGGAAGGTCCTAAAATTTATATTCAAATGAAGAATGCCCCGTGATTCTAAGGTGCATATAGTATGAGAGCCACTAGAGTTTCTCTGACTTGCCCAGTTAAACTGAAGAGCCAATTTTATTTCATGTCCCTCTGCTTTCTCCCGCTTCTCCTTGATGTCCGATTTTCAGCCTGACAAGAAGAGGCGGGTAGAGGAGAAGAATATGTACTCAGACCTGGGACTGGGATAGCTTCTTTTTGACTGTGGGAGTTTCTTTAGCTTGCCTTGCTGCCTGTGAGATGAACCCAGCAGTTCATTTAGTTGAGCCTGCTCTATCTTTTTAAAGACTCGGGGTCTTTCAAGCTAGAATGTTTTTCTTTCCCAACTCCACCCCTCCAAAAGTCATCTTGTTATTAGAACCCTCCAAACAATCCTTCTGCAGTCCCCTAGCCCTTTTTGCTATGCCTCCAGGAATCCAGGCAAGCGCCCATTCATAAATTCAACAAATCTACTGAGCCCTACTATGCACCAGGTACTGCTATGAGGCTTGGAGATTGTGCCTCATGGAACAAACCAGATAAAAATCCTTACTCTTGTAGAATTGATATTCTAGTGAAAAAGACAGACAACAAAACAAAACAAGACAGACAATAGGAAACAAATCAGAAAATTGTATGTTAGAAGGAGAAACAGGAGTGGGGAGGGGTGGGGTTCCAATTTTAGCAGTGTGGTGGAAGAGCTTCATTGAGAAGATATCAAGGGGTGGAAGAGTGAGCCATAGGGCTACCTACTGGAGGAACACGCAGCCAGAAATGCCAGGCAGGCTGGAAGAAGAGGGAGAGCAAGGAGACCTTTGTGACTGGAGCAGGGAATTCTATGAAGAGATCAAGGAGGTCATGGGTGATCAGATTCTATCAAGCCTTTTAAGCCACTAAAATGTGGGTTTTCACTCTGAGTGGAATGAGAAGCCTTTGCAGGGTTTTAAGCAGAGAAGGGACGTACTCTGTTTTGCGTTTTTAACCATCTCTCTGGCTGTAAAGAATTGACAAGATCAGAAAAGTGCCTTCAATAGGCTATTGCAATAATCCAGGGGAGGCATGATGGTGTTTTGGAGCATGGTGGCAGGTGTGAAAATCAAAAAATAGTATTCGTTCAAATGCAACTTGTGGCATTAACTATGGCGTACATTGAATGCATCACTAATCTGCTTCTGCAGTGGGTTTTCCCTGCCTGGATTTCAGGGAAGGGTAAAGAGAGGAAGGAGGAGGGATGGTTTGACGTTACCAAGGAGACCGAGCATCATGAATCTGAAAACCTGAGATGGTTCCAGGCCTTTAGGCCTCTGGCGCAGCAATAATTCTGTGGCCGAGCCCACCAGTCGTTTCCCAATGACCATGCGCAACAGGCCAGGTGGGAGCCTATGGAAAACACAGGACTTTCGCAAAGCGGGACAAACGCATTCCGGGAATCGTAGTTCTGCGGCTTTGCGCAGGCGCAGTGGCCCCTCGCCGGCTTGCGCGCGCAGGTCCTGCAGGACAAGTTTCTAGAAGCTCATTGCGGTGGCGTTGGTCCTGACTGCGAGTGCTGATGCAGGTAGCGGTTGTCCCGGGCCCCTGATTTCCAGGCCGCGGCCAGCTCGCCGGCTCCAAGGATGCACCCGGGGCGGGGTGGGTGGAGCGTGGGTGGGGAGCCGAGCGACCTCTCCGTGCACTGCCGATGCCGCAGCTTCGGGGGGCAGGTGGGCACTGTCCTGAATGACGGAGCTTTTCTCCATCCCTTCCCTGCGCCTACGGTCCTAAAACTTGGGTACGCGGACATTTTGGGCGGGAAAATTCCTTGATGTGTGTGCGTAGGGAAGGGGGCCCGTGCTGTGACTGCAGGCTGTTCAGCAGCATCCCTGGCTGTACCCGCCAGGTAGGTATCAGTAGCGCTCCTCCTTTCCAGTGGTGATGACCAAAATGTCTTCAGCGCCCCCCTCCCTTTGAGAACTTCTTTCTGCCTGCGTCACATTTTTGCGAAGCCTCTGTTGTAGGCCCCCTGGAGACCGAGACGAGTGTCTTCGTCACCGCACAACCTCAGGTGCGGTGCAGCGCGGTGCAGGTACTCGGGTGGCGCTTAATATTTGGCGGAGGAGTAAGTGACGTCATGCATACATGGGTGCCGGGCTGTGCTCGGAGGTGGGTAATGACTGGTGTAATGGTTGCAACAGGGGGAGAGAGTGCTTCCACCTGCCGCATTGTAGCGCATTTCGCTCAGGCTGAACTGTCATTTCCTGGGGGTTATCTGAGGGTGGGGACCCTGCCTGATCTGTCCACGCGTGTCTCCTAGTGTCCTGATGGCCAGTTATTTGCAGAATGAAAGAACGCATGTAACGCAGGATGGGCTCAGTGCAAAAGAGCACTTGGGGATCAGAGGAGGCTTTGTACAAGAGGTGACCGTTGCAAGGAGTCAAGTTTTAACGGATGAGTAAAAGTTTGGTAGGAGAGGGAAAGAAGGCAGCTTCCAAGGAGAGGGAATGGCTGGGAGCAAAGGATGGAGGGTGTGTGGGAACAGGGACATTATTCTTTCTGGCCGCTGCGTCCATCGGGCAGCTAGAACTCAAGAGGTGAGGTCTTCAGGGCAGGGTGTCTGATCTTCGTGCGTGGCCTCTGCATTTGAATTTTACCTTGGGACAGACGAGGGGTGATAGGACCCAGGTTTGCATATTAGAAGGCATCCGTAGGCTACAGTGTGGGACTGGATAGAAGAAAGCTATACATGGGTAGTTTAAGTAGGATAGCATGGAGAGGGTCTTAGGAAATAAAACTGCCAGAATTTGATTATTGGTTGTGTGAGAAATTTGAGAGGTGAATAGGAAATCAGACTTGTGAGTTGAGCACCTGGTGGGAAATGGGAGGCCGTTCACCGCAGCAGTTCAGGAGATGTTGAGTAAATTTGTGACTGGATTCTCTTGTAGCAGTGAGCCTTTTCTCATGTGTTTTGCTTATGAGGAATGTTTAGTCTGAAGAAATTGTTTTCTTGGAGGATATCTTTTTTTTTTTTTTAAGATTTTATTTGTTCATTTGACAGAGATCACAAGTAGGCAGAGAGGCAGGCAGAGAGAGAGGAAGGGAAGCAGGCTCCCTGCTGAGCAGAGACCCCCCCCCCCCTCCCCAATGCGGGGCTCGATCCCAGGACCCTGAGATCATGACCTGAGCTAAAGGCAGAGGCTTTAACCCACTGAGCCACCCAGGCGCCCCAGAGGGTATCTTTAATTAGCATTCAATAACTCCTCTGCTTCTCATGTAGACCTTGGATGGAGCAGCTGGGCAGGGCTGTTCTAGGCCTTCTGTGTATGTCTGCATACATCTGAACCAAACCAGGAACAATGTTTTTAGGAGTAATAATTTGTTTTACTTAATCTCTTCTGTTTTTTGACAGTTTCTGCAAGACTAAGCTGAATGCTTGGAACCCTTGATATTTCGCTGTCTATAGTGCCTGTTGGTGGACTGTACTGATCATTCAACTGGGGGCTAAAGGGAATTGGATTCCTGCTGCTGACGCACAGTGCAAGCTGTAGTATCCTTGAATAAGATGACATCCATCTCCCCAGACCCTCAGACCCTGGCCTCGAGTGAACCAAGCAAGGTCCTAAGAATGGATGCTCCAGGGGATCAAGAAGCTATCCTGAGAGGAGACAATAAAGACCCAGAGACTTTCAGACAGAGATTCAGGTGGTTTTGTTACTCAGAAGTGGCTGGACCCAGAAAAGCCCTAAATCAGCTCTGGGATCTCTGCATTCAGTGGCTGAGACCAGACATCCACACGAAAGAACAGATATTAGAGCTTTTGGTGTTTGAGCAGTTCCTGACCATTTTGCCTGGGGAGATCAGGATTTGGGTAAAGTCCCAACATCCTGAGAGTAGTGAGGAAGTGGTGACCCTGATAGAGGATTTGACCCAAATGCTTGAAGAAAAGGAAGGTGAGATTTATAGATGGTGGGAAGAAGTGGGAGTGATCTCAGAGTGTGAAAGTAAACTCCCCTAGAGAAAGCAGTTGATTATTTAAAGGGAGTCTCAGTTTGGGGGTGGGACTGGCTCTGAATCAGTCCTGCCTTTTACTGTGTAATCTTGGGCAAGCAACGTAACCTCTTGGAACCTTCATTTTTTTTTTTTTTTTTAATCTGTGGAAAGGGATTCTCATCTGCTTAGTCTTTTATGATGGGTTGAATATGATAAGGTATAATACTAATTTCTTTCCTTTCAGCCTTGAGTAAAAGGGAATCTTAGAACATAGGAGCGAAGGAAATGACTTGCACACGTTTGGAGTCATAGGCATACCGTCCAGGGCAGGTCTCAACTCCTGCCTCCCGAGTGTGCAGAGCAGGTTTCTAGATTGGGGCGCCTGCCGTCTGTGACGTTGGAAATGCATTCTGCACTGTTGGGGCTTCGCATTAAGCATCTGAAATGTGACCAGGGCAAATAAGGAATTGAATCTTAAACAGCCATGTGTGCTGGGCAACATCCAGGCAGGAGCTGCTGACCAACATTAAAATTCCATTATTATACACATACCAATGTATAAACTATAAACTGAATCGTAACATATCATCATAAAATATTGATAGACTTATGGGGTGGATAGCCCTTTGAGGGCATGGGGTCCAGCTTTTATAAAATCCCTTTAATATGCTGCCCATGTCCCCAGTATGTGTATCAGATGAACTACCGTAAAGCTCTCAGTACATATGTGGGACAGTTTGCGTTCTACGAAGAGTTCCTGGATAGGGAAGTGGCATTTACCTCCGCAGAGTTCAACTGTGGTCACTCAGCTAATTGGTATGTTCAACCTTGGGGTTGCCTGACCTCTGACTTATCTGTCATGGCAACATGGTGCTTCTCCAAAATTAGGGCCTCTTAGCGGAAGCCCCTAGCAGTAAAGAAGCTCATGAATTTATTGCTGTAGCATTCTGTAAGAACAGTTCCCTTAAGAGTCCCTTCTACGTAATTCTGATTCTTAATTCCTTTCGATTATCTAATCAATAAGCTAAAATTCTTTTCATAAGAAAGTAAAGCGTGATTTTAAAAATACTTAACCCTTATCAGAAGAAGAGCTCTTGACATCTCAGGGTATGTAATATATTTAGTTGATATGTTCAGGTTCCTGATTTCCGCCTTTAGGCATCTGCTGGCAACCCCAGGAGAGGAGAGTGTTCCTGAGACCAGTTTGGTGCTTTCTTTCAAGAAGCGACTCTCTGCAAGGCATTGTGCTAGGAGTATGAAGAAAAACAAATTAATACATAAAATGAATATGCTGTTTTACCTTAATACAGCCTACGACTATTTTTCAAATAACTCTTATGCAAATAAAACACATTTAAACTGTAGGTGTGTGGATTGAATGAAACCGATTATTGCGAGCTTAGCTATTGAAGGCTATTTTATGGAATAGGGGGAAAAGCTTGGATTTTAAAAAGAGCGTGTATGTGGCTTTTATCTCTGTTTTAATAGGAGTGGGAAAAACTTTCTTCTGACCTTTTTCTGCAGAGAAGCATGTGTAAGAATTTCTAGTCTGAGGAATGCATTTGAAAGACTAGAGTGTCCTTTCCCCCCTTCCTAGATCCAGTCTCTCAAGAGTCTGTTATTTCCCAAGAGGAGAACCCTGAAGAAAATAAAATGGTTTCTGTCCTTCCAAGTACTGAGTCCCGGGTAAGCTTTCTTTCACTGGTTTTCATTCTTAAGTGAATACTTATTGAGCTCCTACAGAGTGGTATAAAGATATTAGAATCATGAAGACAGTTTCCTTCACATTCTTCAAACTCATTCTTTAGGTGCTGTTTTATTTGAGTTACCAGGATTTGTCACAAGTCTGACTTTAAGAAAAACAACAAAAAAAGTTTACTAAAATTCTAGTTATTCTTTTTTTTTTTTTTTTTATAAACATATAATATATTTTTATCCCCAGGGGTACAGGTCTGTGAATCGCCAGGTTTACACACTTCACAGCACTCACCATAGCACATACCCTCCCCAATGTCCATAATCCCACCCCCCCAATTCTAGTTATTCTTGATAAAATTGGTCAAGTGGAAATGGAATTATATTTCCTTAATGCAATTTAAAAAAAGTCTCCAGCTGAACGGTATTGGAAAATAAAAAGCAGCTCTCACAATGCCTGTAAAAAGATAAGAATGTCTAATCATGCTGTTGTTAGTAGTTTTTTAATATTTTAACCAAAGGAGTAAAATAAGGGAATGAGGTAAATATTGGTATGAAAAAGACAAATGTGTGTTATTTGCAGATAACATGGTCTATTTGGAAAACCTCTGAGAATCAACAGGTATTAAAACTCATAATAATTGAGAAAAGTGACTAGTTACAAATCAATTAGAATAATTTGCAACGGTTACAGATCACTTAGAAAAAAATTATTTTTGTAAAGATTTTATTTATTTGAGAGAGAGTACATGAGCACACACATGCATGAGCAGATGGGAGAGAGAAGAATGCTCCTCACTGAGCAGGGAACCCGGATCCAGCACTGGGATCATGACCTGAGCCAAAGGCAGATGCTTAACCACTAAGCCACCCAGGTGCCCTAAAAAAAAATTCTTACTCACAGTAGGTAATCGATACTGCTATAGTAGACTGATAATGGCTGCCCAAAATGTGCCCACTTCCTAACCCCTAGAGCCTGTGAGTGTTAATCCAATGCAAAAAGACTGTATTTTGTGTGTTCTTTAGGAATCCATGATGATCAAGGACGTGGTTGTGAGCTTTTCCAGAGGAGAGTGGAGGAGGCTAGAGCCTTTTCAGAAGGAACTCTATAAGGAAGTGCTGCTGGAGAACTTTAGGAGCCTAGAGTTTCTGGGTAAAGATATCTCTTTATGATGTAATGTATAAGCTGTATATCTTTTTGAGCACTACCATTGAAAGATAAGTGCTATTAACTGTATTGGCTGGGCATGCAGGGTTGATACGACTAATCCTAAAAATGATTTCTGAAAATGTACTTTTCTGCAATGTTTTCTCTAAAAAAAGAGTTTCTGCTTCATTGAACTGGAAATGTTGAGTATCACTGTGCTGCCATCAAGACATACCTTCCCCAGTTCCTCCTGATTTTCCAGGAATTACGTCTGTACTTGACAGCATCTTCTCTTTCCTGGAGAACCCGAGGCTGTGTATGAATGTTGGAACATCTTTGCCCTGTGCAGAAGCAGTCATTTTTTACTCTTTTCTCTATGAGCAGGCTTTCCAGTTTCCAAATTAGATTTGATTTCCCAGTTTAAGTGGGTTGAACTGCCATGGCTGCTGGAAAGAGAAATCTCAAAAGGCTCCAGACCAGGTGAGTTGATGAAAAGCAAAGAAATTAAAAGAGTTGCTTAGCCAAGTCATTTGTGAAAAGCCTTTGAAATATTGGGTGGGTTAGATGCTAAAAGAGAAGGTGATTAGAATAGACCCCTTGCCTTCCTGGGATACTCATTTTATTGGAGAGACCATTCATTTAGGTCCTCTGAGAAGTAGATGCCAAGACGTGATTGGCTATGCCAGGGACTTACTGGGGAGAATTGCAGTGAAGGAAAATGGGGAGACCAGTGAGAGCATGAGGTGATTGTAACACCTGTGAATGAGAGAGGGAAGGAAGGAAGGCTGGGTAGGAAGTGTCTTAGATTAATGTGCAGTGTTTTGTTTTTTAAAGGTTTTTTTGGGAGTGGGAGAGCATAAGGGCAGGGGCAGAGGGAGAGGGAGAAGCAGACTCCCCACTGAGCAGGGAGCCTGACATGGGGCTCGATCCCAGGACCCTGGGATCATGACCTGAGCCGAAGGCAGTTGCTTAACCAACTGAGCCACCCAGGCACCTCATGTGCCATTTAATAAAGTTTTGGCAAGGCCAAAGAAGAGTTCACCAGCCGGAGTCACCTTTCTGGAGTCCTATGTCTCAGGGCCTGCCTGTGTCTCTGCTGTACTTGCCAGTGACTGGGAGCAGCTATGGGAAAGTGGCCTTGGTGTCGAATCAGCAGCCAGGGGGGCTAAGTAAGCACTGCAGAGTTGGAGATCTGAGCAGTGCATTTCTGGGTGCGCCATAATACGGATATCAAACCACACAGTATTAGTAATGGGTTGAATGGGGAACACAGGAACAATGGCTTACTTAACATTTAAGTTGAATCTTGAAGGATAAGTAGGAATTCATCCAGTGGACAGCCTGGAGAGTATAATCTCATTTTTGTTAAAAGGAAAAAATGTTTATATACATGTATATATCTAAATATATAAATAATAATTTAATTTTTAAAAAATATGTAAATACAGATAGATTTTTTTTTTTAATGTCTGGAGAACATTCCTGTTAATCATGGTTATCTCTGAGGGATTACATTTTTTCTTCATCCTTCTCTTACCTTAAAATTTAACAATAAATATACTAAGTTTATAGTTAAAAAATAAGTTATTGCTTATATATAATAGTACATTATTTTTTAAGAGAAAACCAATAATTTCATTTAGCTCTATTTCATCTTAACAAAAGTCAGACTATTGGTTGTTTTCAGTATATGTACCCAAATAAAGGATATTATTTTTTAATATAAATGGTATAAATATGCTCCTCTCTCCCCAGAAGCATTATGTAGATGTACAACTTGTTTAAAAAGTTAATTTACAACAGATAGAAGAAAACACGTAGACAAAGCAGAGTCGATAACTATAATTTATAAAATACTTAAGCAAATCAGTGAGGAATGCTGAGTCTGTTAAAAAAAAATGGGTGAAGAACTTGAGCAGATAGCTGACAGAATTAAAAATAACTGACAACACTAAACCTTAAATTGCTGCAAATTTGAAAAAAAAGTTCCAAGTCATTGATCAGTGATGAAATATACATTTAAAGCAATAGTACTGAGACACCTGAGTAGCTTAGTTGGTTAAACTTCCAACTCTTGGTTTCAACTCAGGTCATGATCTCTAGGTTGTGAGATCGAGCCCCACATTGAGCCCCTCATTCAGTGTGAAGTCTGCTTGAGTTTCTTTTACCCTCTTCTACTCCTCCCCCCTGCTGTCTCTCTTTCTAAAATAAATCTTATAAAAAATGCACAGAATTTTTAATAATGGTTAACTTCTGGGGAATAGAATTTTGTGCTTTATAGTTAACTCTTTAAAAAACAGGTTTATGAAAGTGATGGCGTGACCTCATGATTAAGAGCCAGGTTGAATGATGTGGTTCAAAGATCTGTAGAGAGTGTAATTAGAGTATGATATTGGAGAAATCTGTGGGGATTGTGGGACTTGAACCTGAGGCCCTGGGTGTTTCTGTTCGGGAAGGTGCCACGGGACTGCACTTGAGGTAGGACGAAGGCTGAAAGCATAGGACTGAAATACCGTAGTGTGGGAGGGACAGGGAGTGGATGCCCGCTTAGAGTGTATCCCTAAGGTTGACTGTTGTAACCTTTGAAAGTTTGGCGTTGGCAATGCTGCACGTCTATGATGGGATTACCATTATTCTGTAAATTTAGTGCTATTCGGCTGCTTTGAGAAGCAGTGGGTACAGGGATCAAAAGTATGGGCTTTGGTGTCAGAATAGATGAAAAATCTGGCTCTGTTGCTTACAACACATGTGACGTGAGGCAAGCTACTTGCTCCTACTCTTACTTTGTGTGTGTAGTTGTCGTATCCATAAAACAGGGATAATATCAGCACCTACTCTATAAGACTTTTGTGAAGATTAAAGGAAATACAAGCAGAGTGCTTGATACAGGGGCTGGCCTTTACTAAGCGTTCAATAAATGTTTGTGCTGTCGTCGTTATTTAGAAAGAAAATAGATTGGCTCTAAAGAGAATGAGTTTGAGCCTATTACAGAAATTTGAAATGAGGGTGAGAACATGCATCTTTATTCTAACTATAAAGCACAAACTTTTCATTTTCCCCAATATTTTTCTTAACTCCTATATTTACCTAGTTTCTCTATATTATTTTTTCCTTCTCTGTGTCCTAAGATTCTGAAAACCGTCCAAGATCATATTCATACTGTTTATAGTCACTCCTACCTCTTTCCCTATCTCAGTCCCAAAGAGGACAGCTTCCTTTATTGCAAACGGGAGACGTTCTATTTGTTATTTCTTTTAGAGTGTGAACCTAGAGGTGAATTGAAGGAATCCTCTCGAAATCAAGATGTTCTAGAAGAATCAACTTTAGATAAAATAATAGAAAGATGCCTAATGGGTGGTAATTATGGCCTGATGGGAGAGTCCCGGAAACGTAGCAGTAAGGAATATTCTCAAGTTGCAGGCACACAAAAGAAAACTCATGGGAGAGGCAGTAAGGGTGAGGAGTTTGACCCAGAAAAGAGCCCCTTTGGAAGTAATTTCAAGCATACCTCAGAAATAATTAAACACCTGAGAGTCTACTTAAGGAAGAAGTCTCGGAGGTATAATGAATGCAAGAAACCCTTCAGTTTTCATTCAGACCTTATTCTGAACCGCAAAGAACACGCTGGAGAGAAGCCACGGAAATGTAACGAAGGCAGGAAAGTCTTAGGTCACTCTTCATCCCTAAGCGAACATCAGAAACATCAGAAAATGCATTTTGGCGGGAAGACCCAGAAGTGCAGTAATTGTGGGGTAACCTTTACGCGGAACTCATCCCTTAAGAGAAAAAACTCCCCTTTGTGTGAAAAATGTTGGAGAAATTTAAATCAAGATGCAACCTTAGATAAAGATGAGGGAGCTGAGATGGGAGAGAAGACCCATAAATGTAGCAAATGTGGAAAAGCCTTCGGCTATAGTGCCTCACTGACCAAACATAGGAGAATTCACACAGGGGAGAAACCCTACATGTGCAATGAATGTGGAAAAGCTTTCAGTGACAGTTCATCCCTCACGCCACACCACAGAACCCACAGTGGAGAGAAACCCTACAAATGTGATGATTGTGGAAAAGCTTTCACCCTGAGTGCCCACCTCATCAAACATCAGAGAGTTCATACTGGAGAAAAACCCTATAAATGTAAAGAATGCGGGAGACCCTTCAGTGACAGTTCCTCTCTTATTCAACACCAGCGAATTCATACCGGAGAGAAACCCTACACGTGTAACAACTGTGGAAAATCCTTCAGTCACAGCTCGTCCCTTTCCAAACATCAGAGGATTCATACTGGAGAGAAGCCCTATAAATGCGGTGAATGTGGAAAAGCCTTTAGACAGAATTCTTGCCTTACGCGACATCAGAGGATCCACACTGGAGAAAAACCCTATTTGTGTAATGACTGCGGGATGACTTTCAGCCATTTTACATCCGTCATTTATCATCAGCGGCTTCATTCAGGAGAAAAGCCCTACAAGTGTAACCAGTGTGAGAAAGCCTTCCCTACCCATTCACTCCTCAGTCGCCATCAGAGAATTCATACTGGCGTAAAGCCGTATAAATGTAAAGAATGTGGGAAATCTTTCAGTCAGAGTTCATCTCTTAACGAGCATCATCGGATTCATACCGGAGAGAAGCCCTATGAATGTAATTACTGTGGAGCGACCTTCAGCCGGAGCTCAATCCTTGTGGAACACCTAAAAATCCATACTGGGAGGAGAGAATATGAATGTAACGAATGTGAAAAGACATTTAAGAGTAACTCAGGCCTCATCAGACATCGGGGATTTCATTCTGGAGAGTAATTCTTGAGATACAGTAAGGTGGTTGGGGGGGTGGAGTCTCATCAAATTGTCCCTTATTAAAAACCCAGGGTGGAAACTACCACCACATTGATCAGTAGCTACAACTTTAATGGGTTGGCAGCTGGGAAAAACACTTTTTGCCATTCACCACTCTCCTTTGGTAGATGGTAAGTAGGGTTGGTAAAGTTAGTAGAGTTGGTAAACGGATGAAAAGTGAAGAAAGGATGAGATGTGCAATGATTCCGAAAGGCCAAATGCAGATTTAAAAAGCAAGAGGAGTGCACGAGACCCACTGATGAACCTTTTTTTCTTCAAGAGATTTCCCTCTTCTAGCAAGAACTGGTCTCGAGTCATAACCTAGGTTCTGAGTTCTGTCCCACTTTGCCAACCAGCTCACTGTATAACCTTGGACGCATCATTTGACCTTTCTAAATTTGGGTTTTTTTCACTGGTGGCAGGAAGGGGGTGGGGCTCACAATTTCTAAGTTTACCTCCGATCCTCTCTGAAGCTGTGGGAATAAGCTAAATTGGAATTTGCAAGTTTCTATAGTAGAAAAGCAATTATTTAAGATTCTGAACTGAGAATGTGGTATACTCTTCAAATACCAGATGCTGGAATCCCTAGAATATCAACAGGAACGAGTCGGCAGAGCTCACACGGTGTGTCTTCAGGGAATGTTTTAATTGGACAAAGTACCCCAACCTGTTTTTCCCTCTGGGCTCTGACTGGGGATTAGGAATCTAGAGGGCAAACATTGGAGCCATCTCAGCTGTGAGAGTACCAGTCCTAGGAAAATGGGTTGGGGGCTGGGGAAGGGGGCGGTGGGGAAGGAAACGGGTGTTGAAAACAGAGCTATTCTGGATGGATTATCTTTTGCGAAAGAAAATTCTTATTTTTTTAAAAGTTTGTTTATCCTAAGTACAGCCCCCCTTTAATCAGAGTGCAAACATGATGTATGGCAAAGGTCACAAGCTAAGATTGAGCCGTTTGATGTTTTGGTTGATCTGCATGGTAAGATGTGTTTATGTGTGGGTGGGTGGATGGGTGGAACTTGTCACCATTTAAAATTTAAAAATTAGGAGATTTCATACCAAAAAAAAAAAAAAAAGGCTTGCCTTGAAAAATTATAAGGGCTGTTAACCCTGGCCCATACTTCCGTGGAGTAGTCCACTGGTTTGGGGTAGCAGCTGCTGCCTTTACAAAGGGAATCTACTCTTCTACCAGCCAAGTTCTCTGATTTATAGGACTTGATTTGCCCTGAATATAGGAACTTGATACTATGGTCCCCTGCCATCTAGAGAATATGTATCCTAAAATCTAAAGAGACTCCCCCGATAGTAAAATACAGCAGAAGAATGTAGAAGTCCCACAAAATAACTTCTCAGTTAAGTGCTTTGTTGTGAAATTAGACTTGAAGAGAGAGCAGTTATTAGTGGATTATTTCTTGTGACGAATCTCAGTGGTGGAGTGTGAATAATCATTTCTGACTGAAAGAGGAGCTAAAACCCTGAGTCAGGTGTAGGTCTCAAGTCCTAGGGTTCTGGAGGCGCCCTTCTGATTCAGCGATGGTACCAAGAAGTTCATAAAGTTGAAATCTGAGGACGCTCCCTAATAAATGAGAACGAAAACAGAAAACTTGGCTTGTGGAAGTGAAGAGATCCTGAATGCTGATGGAGACTCAGCAATATTTGCTGCGATTTAATGGGAGTAGGTTTGCAATACTACCTCTGGATAATGCTTTTGGTTTCTTCCTTATACCCCCACTCCCTGCTCCCCCCCCAAAGGCTTGTAGTTCAGATACTGCTGTATGGTATGTTGGTCTGCCTAGTTGTCACTAAATGGACCAACCAGAGACATTCTAGCCATGAAAAGAAAATGGCTTAGGAGGATCATTCATCTGGTCTTAAGTTTTTTTCCAAACATACATAAACCCTGATTTTTTTAAAAAGATACAATTTATAGAGAAATATGTAAAATTCTTGAGACGAGGCTTCTTCCAGGATGTTCACTAGTTACAGCCTCCAACATTCATAAGAGGAGGTTTTATACCAGTACCAGCTGGGTATCTGGAACATAGAGGTTCTTTTTTTTTTTTTTTTTTTTAGCAAGTTTTTTGGGGTGTAAATTACATATAAAGGTCATTTCAAGTGTACAATTCAGTGAGTTTTGGCAGACTCACTGAATTGTACAATCCTCACCACAATCCATTTTTAGAACATTTTATAAACTCAGTAAGATCCCTCAGCCCCGTTTACAGTTAACCTCCATTCCCACACCTAGCCTCAGGCAACCTCTCTGTCCCTGTAGAGTTGCCTTTTCTGGACATTTTATACAAATAGGATCATATGTGGTCTTGTGTTTTTCATTAATGTATTTTCTAAGTTCATGTTGTAGCACATCAGGCCTATTTTTATGGTTAAATGATACCCTATTTTATGGATATACCATATTTTGTCCATTCACCAGTTGAAGGACATTTGGGTTGTTTACAGTTTTTGGCTGTTCATAATAATGCTGCTTTGAACGTTGATGTGTAAGTCTTTCTGTAGACACATTTTCATTGTTCTTAGGTAGATGCCTGAGTGGCTGGCTCACAGGGTAAATTTTGTTTAACTTCCTAGGATATCGCCAAATTGTTTTGTAGGTGAGTACATCATTTTTTGTTCCGAGCAGCGCTGGATGACCCCTACAGTCTGGAGAATATAGATCTTAAAATCTAAAGAAACTCCACTGATAGTGAAATGCAGGAAGAGAATGTAAAAAATCATACAGAGTAACTTTTCAGTTTTGTTTGTGAAATTAGACCTCAGAGAAATAGAGTATACAGGTACTAGTGGATTATTTCTTAAGAATTTCATTGGCAAGGTCTGAATAGTAATTTCTAAATGAAAAGGGAACTAAAGCCCCGAGTCAGTCAGGTTTCTGTACATCCTCACCGACTCTTGTGGTATTGTCTGCCTTTTTCATTATAGCCATCCTAAGGGTTGAAATGCTATCTCTTTGTGGTTTTAATTTACATTTCCCTGATGGCTAATTATGTTGAGAATCTTTTCATGTACTCAATAGCTATTCATGTATCTTCTTCAGCAAAATGTTTATTCAAGGTTTTTTTCCATTTAAAGAGTTAGGTTTATTGAGTTGTCATATTTTATATTCTACGTGAAGGTCCTTTCTCCAGTATGGAGAAATACTAGCCGTAGAGAGCTGCCTCAAACTCTACTGCATGATATTTATAAAAAGCTTGTTTTCAATAACTACTTATCTATAATTGCCTAAAGGATATTCGATGCGGGCCATCATCTTAAGTACTTAAATTCATTTTTTATGTCCTATCAGATAATCAAGATTTTAAACTTCTTTTGATCTCTTACCAAATTGTTCTTATTAATTAAATTAGCAGTATTTAATAATACTATTAAAACCAGTATTTAACTTTATGCTGTTTATGTGCATTGACAGGTATTAAAAATCAGCCCTTTAACATATTCTGTCTACTTTAAAATGAAGACCTTGTTTTTCACAATGTTTCTTCTTAATGAGTTTCCACTGAAGAAACTACTGTCAGGTTACAGGACAGGATAAAGCTTCGCCTGTCAGTGATTCTTCTTTTATTTACTTACTTTTGAATTAGTTTTTAACATGGTGAAATATAGATAACCTAAAATGGACCAGTTTAACCCTTTTTGGGAGTATGACTCAGTGGCATTAAGTACATTCGTGTTGTTGTGTAATCATCACCCCTGTCCATCTCCAGAAGTTGTCTGTCATCCCAAACTGAAGCTCATGAAACAGTAACCCCTCATTCTGTCCTGCCCCCAGCCCCTGGGGGCCACTATTCTGCTTTGTGTGTCTCTGAATTTTGAATATTTTAGGCACCTCCTATAAATGGGATCATTGAATATTTGTCCTTCTGTGTCTGGCTTCTTTCACTTAGCAAACTGTTTTTAAGGTTCATGTTGTAGCAGGTGTCAGAATTTTCATTCCTTTTCAAGACTGAACAACATTCCGTCATATGTATATACCACATTTTGTTCATTCATCCATCAACGGACATCTGGGTCATTTCTACCATTTTGACTACGGTTAGTGGTGTAAAATAGCAGAGTCCCTGTTTTCAGTTCTTCAAAGATGTCAGTGTCATCTAGAACAGAGACTCTTCCCGAAGGTTTTTGGTTCACTTTCCTGAGATCCAACAGAGGAATCACTGTCTATGGGTGTCCTAGCCTTAGGAAATGTATTTCTTGTAAGACCTGGAAGTTGAAATCAGTCCTTGATGCAGGGACTGCGGACAGGATAATGTGTCAGCAGTGACAAAAACCACAACCTTGTACATCTTCCATCATGGGTGACCAGGTCCATTACTATGAGCAGTAATATTTTGAAAAAAGAAATTTTTTAAAGATTTTATTTTTTTTATTTACAGACAGAGCTCACAAGTAGGCAGAGAGGCAGGCGCGGGGCGGGGGGCAGGCTCCTTGCTGAACAGAGAGCCTGATGCAGGCCTTGATCCCAGGACCCTGGAATCATGACCTGAGCTGAAGGCAGAGGCTTAACCCACTGAGCCACCCAGGCGCCCCAAGCAGTAATACTTTGAAAGGGATTTTTTTCGGAGCAGTAGGTGTCAATAGTGGGCTTACAAAATTCGGTACAAACCATGTTGTAAACAGATGTGTTGCCATCTGGGTCTTGTTCCCTGTATAAAGCATTAGGCAGAGAAGATTTAGCATAATTCTTTAGGGCCCTAGGATTTTCAGAATGGCAAATAAGCATTGGTTGCAACTTAAAGTCACCAACTGCTTTAGTTCCAAACAAGAGAGTTAGGCACTGACTTCTCTCTGGTTAGGAAAGTCCTAGATGGCGTTTTCTTATAAGGCTGTTTGGTCTGCACTGAGAATCTCTTGTTTGGTGTAGCCACCTTCATTAATGAGCTAGATCTTCTTTTTTTTTTTTTTTTTAAGATTTTATTTATTTATTTGACAGAGATCACAAGTGGACAGAG